TTTTGAGAAATCAGGACAAATCCATACGCAAAATGCTACTTGTAAATCCAGGAAGATTGCATCTGGCCATTCAATGTCCCTGGACTTCCAGTCCCTCGAGATATCTGTAAGGGGTTCATCCAATAATAAACTGCCTATGATAACCTATGAGGTCCCAGATCACTGAAAAGCTGTCTAATTACGGTACATCCATTTTGTCGAGTTGGGGTTCCTCCAGGAGTGCCTGTCACCTTAATAGATGAGTTTCACAATCTGTACTGTAAATAACTACATTGTTTAAAAATGAAGCTGTGTTCTCCGCATATGAACAGAGAATACAGTCCATCATCCTTTGAACTTTAAATTAAAAGATAATAAATTGGAGCAGCCCAACTGGAGTAGCAAAGGCAGCTTTTTTTTTCTTGACTGGTTTTCTAGTGACACTTGCCAATAACTCCTTAGACTTAACCCAGTTGACAGTGCCCATTTTTTCTATTTGTGACCTTGTTAAACTTCCTGAAATCATTCCAGATTCTTCTTGACCCAGGTCAGGTCTTTGAACTAGGAAAATAAGGGAGCATCAATCACTCTAAGGGTCCTTCACCCATTTCTAATTCTAACATTGCCTGAACTTCTTCGGAAATCGTTCTAGCTTCAGGAATCTTACATAATTGTAATTTCACTACTTTTACTAGTACTGTAACAATTTTGTGTTATATGACCTGCTTTCTTTCTAGCTTCCCTGAAAAGACTTCAATCAGTTTTGGAAAAGTTTTAATTTATATTGTTCACACTTGGCCTTCAGTTAAATTATTCTACAAGGCCATCAGTTTGGGGATAGTAAACTGATGTTTACAGCATCTTAATTTTTGAAAGCTTACACACTTGTTTCAACACCATAGAAACAAATGGACTGCCCTGGCCTGTCAGTATTTTCTTTTGGTAGTCCTACATGAGAAAATCTTTCAATTAAAGCCTTAGTAGATGTCTGGGATTTCATGTTTCTCAATGCTTCTGTTTCAGGATACCTTGGAGCATAATCTACTAGCACGAGTGTAGATCTTTCTAGGGGACCTACCAAAATCCATACCTCATGTCTCAAATGAGGTACAATATAGATTATAGGCAATGGAGCTAGTGAGGTTGGAATATGAGAGGATAGTGCCATTACTTGACATTGTCAGCAACTCCTACAGATTTTTCCATAACTCTATATACTGTATATGTTTAACCTGTAAAACCTGAAGACAATGCCGCTTCATGCCTTTTCAAGTCCCAAATGTCCTCCCAGTAAATGGGGTAAATTATGGGCCCGTTCCAGCACCCTCTGTCTCAATGGCCAGGCCACTACCATTTGTTTCAATCAGTTTCCAATTTTTCTACATAGATATTCTACATAACAAATCAGGATATAAAATAAAATGTGGAGCTTCCATTAGATAGGTGGTTAGAGTCTACTTATAGGTTTATGACTTCTTCTGGAGAGGTGCTGCAGTAACTTAACACAGTCTTGTTACTCATTTATTCCCAGGCACTTGACAAATATCTTCCATATCACACTGAACAGATACTCTGCATTTTTGTCTTGTTATCTTTGTGGGTTTTGGATTTTCATTTTCCAAATCAGGACCAGTAATTGGAAAAAAGTCACCAATATTATACTTTGTTGAACAGGGTTCTGTACTTGAGACCATATGGTTATACCAAATCTAAACAGAGCTCCAAAACTGAGAAAACCCTTTTCCATTACAGGATATTTTAACTGTACCAGCACAGGCACATCTACTTTTACATTGCTCTGGTCTACTACTAGAAGTCCGCTGTAGGACTAGACACTCTTGTGTCCATTTACAAATGAGGTCTTAATCTTAATGTGATTTGCATAATTTGCATTTAGAAACCAACTTTGTCCAGACTAGGTTTATTAGTGTCTTCTCCAATCATCTTCATTGTTGTGATATATGGAGGTTTGTCTATTTTTGAAACCCCTTCAAACATGCAAGAATTTAGTTGGACCAAACCAATGCCCACATCCACCTGATTTGGGCAATGTTTTGCCATATGACCCCAGCCTTTAAAGTTGTAATAATGTATACCACATCAAGGAAGTGACATGGGTATTTTAGATTTATATGAACTTTGTCCCTTTGGTGTTCTCTTGATGCTCCTCAAATTCTAAATGTTTAGGAACAGACTTATACTTGGTTTACTGGTTCCTTAGGTGGCTTGGTGAAGAGTCTGTCTCATAATTATAGCATCTGTGACTGGTATCCAGGTATCCAGCATTGCAAGACCATGGGCAGACAGTCCGTGATTTGTTCAAACAAAACCTCCACTAGAGCTTCTGGTCCCCTTCTTGGCATGTAGCCAAATAGACACCCATATGCAAACATGTTTGCCTTTCATTAAAAGAACTGTTCATAAGTCATTTTACATATGACATTTGAATAGGCTGTAAAAAGACTGCTATCGACTGCTTTTCTCAGAGCACAGAGTCTCATTGATAGTATCCATGACTGTTTATTTGGAGTGCTACTGAGTTCTGAAATACGGAAGAAAGGGACAAAGTTGCATAAACTGGAAAGGCAATTAAAAAAAAAAGACCTTATACTGTAATTCACTTGAAAATCCTCCTGAAGGTTTCTATGTCATTCTGAATGGGATACATATTATTAATGCTGTAAAATATTTTACTTGTTAAAGTGCAGTTTTGCAAAGAACAGAAAACTAAAGAATTCTGTTTCCTATAATAAAATATTTTACGCGGCCCTGCATGTTCTTAGGAAAAAAGATTCCTGGGACACTTTAAGAAACTTGTGCAAAAAAAAAAGGGAACTGATACACCTTCACTGCACTGATGGTTTAAATGCACATATGTATTAATGTGTTATATGTTAGATGCTCTTTGTTGTGATGTGTGTTTACAGTGGACATAGTAAGCTTATATCTGCAGTAATTTACAGAGCTGTACAAATGACCGATCACTGTTACAGTTCAGTGTTTGGATACATTAGAGTATACAGTATACATTGGATACTGTGTGCTTTCTCTGCCTTTAAATTTAAATTATGTCTTGTTTTTCTTGATGTTGCTAGTGCATGAATTTTAATGCACTCGTCCTCTACTTTTGGTTTTATTCAAAATTCTACAGCACCTTGACATAGCTGGACATGGTATTGAAATGTTGAAATCTCACAAACACAGTAGTTAGAATAGATAAGAGTCCACAGATCCCAAATTTCTGGCTCTTCAAGCTCTTCACATCCTAGTAACTTCCCCAGACTTCATCTTTCTGTTGGTTGTGAGGCTACCCTGTTTGGTCTTCTGGGATCCATTTCAGAAGTTCCTTTCTTTGCCTCTAGCCTCTTACCCTTTTAGTTTCAAAACAAAGTAAAAAGTGCAACAGATTAAGTAAACTTTACTGATCACTACCGAGTACTGCTAATCACAATTGTCAATTAATTGACTATAAAGTTGTTTTTGAAAATTTTAGTTTCAATTAGCTACTGAACTAGGAAACAATCAAGGTGTCCTTATACAAATGTAGTGTTGGCATTTCATTCGAAAATGAGGCTCTGGACTTTCACATTCATTCAAAATCCTCCACACTTTTACACTTCATTTGGGTAGTTATTTAGCAAGTTTTTTTATCATCATTCTGAGAAAATCCTACTTTGTTCTCAACTAATTTTGACCAAATAATATTGTCTTTCTGCTACTGTCCAAGATGGAGCCATCGTTTTGTTGCTTTGACTGGTAATAAGGATTAAAAAATCTCAGGAAAGGAAAGTTACAGGTATAATCCATGATCCCTGGCCATGTTTTTAACTGACAGTGATGGAAACTACCAAAGTGGCAGTGCAAAACTACATGAATATGACAAGAGCTGGGTAGGCTTTTGTTAGGAGGGGTTTCCAGGTTTTGAAACTTGTGGGACCTATCAGGCACCTAGACCCTTGAAGTGGTTAGGGCCTCTGTCGACTGACTGATGCACTGTAGATGAGTTGGAGGAGTATGAACACAATTCTCATTTTCACCAGGAGGTACAGGGGCTAATAATGCAAAGCTGATTAATAAAACAAATACCTAAAATGGATGGGCATAAAATAAGAAAGACCTGCAGATTTGAACTTTTTTCAACACTAAAATTGAAGATACCGTTTTTACTGTCGACTGTCAATGTCAACAAATAAGCAGATGGATATCAAAAGATATTGTGTAAGTTAACATGTCTTTCAAAGGTGCTCTGTTCTTTACAATCAAATGGTATCACAACCTGTAAATTATTACCAGGGTGAGTGCAGCTTTCTAAATCTAGTACAAGGGATAAAACAAGGGAGTCCAGCATTTCTGGAAAATGTTCACACTCCCTTAAATAATTATATTCATTTGTTACCTATGAGTCAATGAATACAGTACAGTATATAAGCTACAGTATTTCATTAGAAACACAACTAATCCAGTTTTTGGATTGGTTGCCTTTTAAATACCTCTCAGACACAGAGCCACATGCTCCAGCTCTGCAGCCAAGAAATGCTGGGACATGCTGGGTCTTGCACTGTCATCTTTGCAGATGCTGTTAAACAAGGTGAATGCTTCTTGTATTCCTACTCATTTTAATACTCTTAGTCTAAATGTCAACACTGATACTAACAATTACAAAGTAAATATGTGTTTATTTTAATCAGTATAATTCATTTATTTTAGTGGAAGCCTAAATAATTTTACTGTCAATTCTTATAGGAGCACCTGTGTTTTAATAGAGTTGCAAAAAGACGGAGCATTCACTTTAAACACAGTATAAGAACATGTTTGTCTTAGCACAAAGAATGAAAGTAAGACAGAGAGAAAGTCCACCTGTGTCAGGTGTGTTTTCCTTTTGCCTCCCTATGCAAATGATTACCTGGTCTGAAACTGCAAAGTAACCAATGAACTTGAGGAGGAAGTGAGTACAAAAAAATCTGATTGGCAGAAGAGCATCCTCTTTAAGTTGTCACATTTTTAGAGTTGTACAACAGAAACAGACCTTCAGCAATACGTGTGTGAATCCACACTGACTTGTTGCATTGCAGAATCTCTGTATACTCAAACAGGACACCTTCACAATAGACATTCTAATATTAGACCCCATTCTTCAAATCTGGTAAGTCTTGGTTTCTATTTTACTGTCACTTCAGCTCTTCAAACAATATGACCAAAAACTCTGCCAATGTTTCATTAGGCTGATGCTCTTCTGCTTCGCAATAAGAGGTTATTTTAATTTATTAGAGCAAGGCATTTTCCATGGAACATTTTAAAATTAATTTTTGATGCTATTAAATATATTGTTTAGGATTTATACCATAAAAATGATTGAAAGTTAAGACTGTAAACTTCATAATAACTTTAATATCGTTACCTGCAGTCGTTAGGAAGTCGTTAACGAGTTAAGTTAAAACTAGAAGACCTTTTGTTTGTAATGGATTAGGTCTGAAAAACACTGTCTGGCACAATACATTTAAGTATTCATATTTAAAATGTATTCCAGATGTGGGCACATTCTGTGGAGTTTGCATATTGTCTCAATGTTTTATGTGGATTTTCTCCAGGTAATCCATTTTTTTCCTGACTCCCAAATACTTTCTTTGGTTCACAGCAGCTTAGGGAAGTGGTCAGGGTTTTCCACACAGGAACTGGAAAGATGTGGGTTGAAATCCCATGTAGAGCAATTGCAATTGGACCCTGGAGCAAGGCTCTTTACTCAGATTGATCCAGCAGAACACTCAAGCACCTGCCAAATTAGCAATAATAGTAACACGCTGGCCAGGTTAGATGGTGTTAATAAATTGTGTGTGTGCCCTGCGATTAGAAAATGCAATAATACAAAGGAACAGGACTTTACAATTTGATTCAGGAAATAATGGCGATGATCTGTTTTACACCAATGATGTACGGTGTTTGAAACAGTCCTAGTTATTGGAATACATTATGAAATGTTATTAGTAAAAGTATAATTATCACTAGTATCATACAGTACATTACACAGTTTATCACAGTTTACAAAGTGTTTCATTCTGTTGAAATATTCATTGCATCAATTTTATTTTCTAAACAATCTTTCCAGAATTGCAGTCCGTTTTGCAAATTTTACTCAAAATGTCAGTGCAGTAATATAAAAGCAGAGACCCTGACCTGTAACAGAACCATCTTAAACTGTACTCAGATTAGATTCGCTATGCTTTGCAATGTACTGTAGATGATGGAACCTATGGAAATACACTTTTCAAAGCCCTCTGTACTAAGGAATGTGGACTGCCTTTCCTGATTTAGCCTTGGTTCTGTAAAAAAGGCACCTAAACTATTTTATTGGCCTTAAATAACGTGTTTTGTGGTAGTTCTTTACTATTGAACTCTGCTTGCTTTGGCTGTCGTTTTACAGTAATTGACTGTGGATTCTGATTTCATGTCATTTTTCTCATACTTTGCTTTAGGATTTATTGGTATGAAATGACTGAAACATAGGAACATAAGAGAGTTGGTAACTAAAAAGAGGCAAATCAGGCCATCTAGTCCATTTGGTAGTCAGAGGCTTTGATTCAAAGTTCTCTTCCAGCCAAGAAGCCAAAGCCTCAATAACACAGATGGATAACTGGTTGCATACTCCCACAGCAATTTACAGGGTTTTATTTCCACTCCAGTTTATTTAATCATTGCACTAACCATACTACAGTACAATAGTATTCCAAAACTGACTTTTACTACAATAAACCAACAATAAACTTGCTACAGCACACTATCGTAAGCAATGGGCATGAAGCAGACAGAAGTACTCTATTCAATAGCAGGCCTTTTAGAGGCATAGAACATTAATAGTTTAGACAGAATTTTGAATTAGAGAATATTTTCCCAATGAAATGTTATATTTGGCAGGTTTTAATACAGTACTTGAGAAGAAATAAAATGCTCCCTTTTTGTAAGGAACGAAGAGGAAATGAGAACCCCTAAGGATAGCTAGCTAAAAAAATATAATAAATTCTTTAGCCCAAGATATTTAAAATTCCTTTGTCATAACGTTTTACAGACAAACATAACAGCAAAAAGAACATATGAAAATGTGCACATGATCCACTTGGCTCATCTAACCTGTTTAGTAGTTAGTTACTACTAATGAACATCCAGCCATTTCTTGAGAGGATCCATGGTATTGGCTTCAACAACAACAACAGTAGTTGGAAAGGTTGTACCATACTGTCCACAAAATTTTGGGTAAATAAGTTCCTCCTGTTTTTTGGGTTTATGTGCACTTCTACGTAAATTCCACTTGAGTTTTGTGGTTTGTTTTAGTATTTATTCTGAAGAAAATGTACAGTGGAATACTTTGCAGTATCATTCAGAATTTTGAATCTATACAACAAATTATTTCTTAAGGACAGTTCAGGGGTTTGAGAGTCAGTACAGCAGTACAGTGGTATTTAAGGAAATTATGAGGAGATTTGAATCAGATTTTCTCATAGTCTTTTCTGTCCCAAGACAAAAACAAGTTCAATTCATTCAGCCTGTTAGTGCGGGGCATTCTTCATAGTTTTTTATACATTAAATGTTTGATTGATTGTGGTGTTTGATTCCATTGATGCTGTACTGTAAAAGTAAAGAATGCTGTTATAGACATTGTTGCAGGTTTAGAAGAACAGCGGAGCTCATGTGGAAAAGTGCAAAAGCTGAAAAATGACATGATATGATGGCCTACATAATGAAATAATATTGCTGTGTCAAGGTCAAGGTTGAAGTTGCCTTAAGGAGTTGTGTTGAGGTGAAGGACATACCGTCCAGTTGAAATCTGTATATTATTTGGTTGCTGTATTGAAAATCTGTAAACTGAGCAGATGTTTTTTTTCAACATTATCTCGACCATGATGGCACATGTATTAAATTTCATAGCAAATGTAAACTAAAGGTGTCATATTATTAAAGACAGACATTCCATAACTTCCCTGTAGTCAGGTATTTCTGGTAAACTCAGGTATTGTAAATCACAAATCTTTTAATCTGATGGGCTGTTAAAAGAAAAATAAGTCAGGAAACTATTTATTAAGATATGGATAAGGAAACACTTGAGTGCTCACTCATTAAAATTTATGGAAAGTTTAAATTTCATTAATAAAAATAGAGATTCTAGATTAGACTGTCCCAAATAAATAATTTTAGCAGTCTCATTCACTCTTTCCATTTTTTTAATTTACAAGTTTTTCTACATTGAGTCAGTTGTTTTCTGTTTTGAATTTGTTTTGAATCTGTACAGATTGTTTCTTAAAGACCAGAGTTCAGGAGTTTGTGATTCAGTACATTGGTCATTTTTGGAAATATGAAATTCATCATTTGAAACATACTTTAAAGTTCTTGGTTTCAACACTTTTGAAAAATGTAAGTTTCTCCAAAAATATATCAAACTGGTGCAGCAAGTTCAGGGTCACATAAAGTATTACTGTCATCTTGGATGTCCACGCTCTTCACTGCATAACAATGAAAAAAACTATGACAATTTTCTGTCCATGTCCATATTCATTGCTTGAGGTTCATTAATGAGTGAAGAAACCTGGGAAGTGAGTGTGATAATCTTTAAAAAAAAAATAGATCGTGCACGTTCACAAAATAGTTTCTGAGCTGGGCAGACATTAAAATTATCCTAAGGAACAAAATAATAAAACAATATTTTTTCTTCTAATTTATGTCTTGTTGTTGTTGTTTTTTTTTGTAGGCTGTTAAAACAGGTCAAGTTGGTTTACTCATAAGATCTTTTTGAGATAGAAATAGTATTGTTTCCTGGTATCTGCAGTGAATGAGAAAAGCTTGTTTTTTTATCTCTTCAAGTGTGACTCTGTGAAGTATGCGTGGAGAAAAAAAAAATAATTAATTATTTGTTAAAAAAAAACACTGCAAAATGGCAATGTCAAAGTTTTCACCGTGGTTGAATGTATTGGTATATTTGCAATTGTGACATTAAAGAGAACTACAGAAAGAGCAGGAATCTTCCTTCCATTCTTATCTACCCACTTCATCCAATTCAGCTGGAGCCTATCCTGGCAAGCAAGTACACTCTGAATGGGATGCCAGTCCATCGCAGGACACACACAGACACAGGCACGTGCAGTACACACTCACCTACTTTGAATCTTCTCATACTGAATAAAATTTGCCTTTTTGCAACTATTCACCCAGAAGACAATTCATGAGATATTGAGGAAATTTTGCAAGGGAGCCCTGAGCTGTTAAAAAATGATTCCTTTTTGCAAGTGTCTTTTAACCTATACGAGAAGTCATTCAACTCTATAAATAGTACAATAAAATGAATATAAATAGTACTGTTTCAAATTCAAGTCCATCCGGACATTTTTTTTTTGCCTGCTGGGGAATTCTTCTTTCATTTCACTAAGAGACTTATTATAATGTTACTCTTCTTGAACCATGTATACAGTATATCAAGAGCAAGAGTACCACCATCACATACCTCAATCTGCAGTAGGAAGTTAAAAAAGTAATTTATTACATGTGAAATATTATAATATGTATTAAATATAGCGACTCCATCCAGTGAAGGTCATACAGAAGAGCTGCAACAATGTTTACAATAAAAACAGCAGTAAGAGCAAAAGTGCTGTAGGAGCTTACTGGGTTACTAAGCTTGTTTCACTGACATTCCAGTGGACAATAAGAGTCCAGTAAACCCTTCAGTGAAACCAGGAAGGTACTGTATGGGGTTTGGGATGTTCCAAGAAGCAGCATATAGTAGTTGGTAGGGCTCCTGACCTCCAAATGCAGGGCCTTAGTCTCTATTGCAGACTTTCCTGCCTGGAACAAGGCATTTTACCTTGATTGTAATAGTATGACCGGCATGCAGAAATGGGTCCCAGTATTGCTGAGGACCCTTGTGATGGACTAGGACCCATAAGGAGGTACTACAGTACTGTATGTACTCTATACTCAGGTCAGGTAACACAACAGAACCCCAGATAAGCTCTGGCCTGATGAGACAGACTAACCACAGTCTCAGTATGAAGGCTGTAAATTGCGTTTCCATAGATAACACCTACACCATGAAACAAAATGAAGTATATTTCACTCATCTGTGGGTTCACTTTTTATATGTTACAGTCTGCTTCTGTTGGC